GGAAAACGAACACAATAACTCTAAAGTAACTAACCAAATTGTATAAAAAAAAATTTCTTATTGTTCAAAATAATTAATAAAAAATGAATATTTCTAATAGTTCATACTAACTATATAAAAATAATCTAATAGTTTAAACTAATTATCAAATTCAATTAAGAAATAAAATAGAGAGAGTGTAAACCCTAAAAAAAATAGAGAGAAAAAAAATCAAATAATAAAATATTATCGACGAGAGTTTGATACTTAAGCAAAGTTATAATTCACTAGTTCATGACATGCGTCCAATATTGATTATTGATTAGATGAAAAAATGTGTTAAAACTTAAAATTAATTAAGAAACAAATAAAACTAAAAATAGAAAACGAACAAAATAATTGTCAAAACAACTAACCAAATAGTAAAAAAAAATCAAATAATCTCAGTTAGTTAGTAAAAATAATTAAAAGAGTATAAACAAATTATAAAATTAAAATTAAAAAAAAAATAGAGAGAGTATAAACAATAAAACAAAAATAGAGAGGAAACATAAATTTAAATTAAGAAACAAATATGAATGATAAAACAAAAGAGTTTTTATAAATTGAAAAACAACATATTAAATAAGTCTATTACATACCACATACAAAATAAGTCTACTACATACACAGTAAGTCTACCACATATAAAATAAGTCTATTACATACCACATATAAAATAAGTGTACTACATACACAATAAGTCTACTACATACCACATACAAAATAAGTCTATGACATACAAAATAAGTCTACTACAATAAAAAATAAGTCTACCGCATACAAAATAAGTTTAATACATACAAAATAAATCTATATACAAATAAATCTACACACTAAAATATTATAAAATATTTTAGGTTTTTATGAGATTATTCACATAAATTTATTGTTTGATAATTTAAYTYTATAATATTTTAATTGTTASRAGATTTTATCATATAGTTAATATAAATTCATAATGTGTAAGAATATGTGTTTTTGTTATTAAGAATATGATTGAATTTCAATTATGTATATATATACATATATTTTTTTGGCATACATA